AAGATATAATAATCTTAATAAAAAAATAACTTAAGGCTGTAAAAAAGCACATCTACTTGTAGTCCCGTCACTAAAATTGACTGAAGGAAAATAAATGAGTTACGTATTTCTCAATCAGTGATCAAGTGCAATTTAAATGAAGATAAATGCTATGATCATTGATGAAGTTCAACGTATTTATTATAATGACGCCATCCCACGGATTAAAACGAATGTACAAATAGATCATATTACAAGAATAAAATAGTATAAATGATACCCAAATGTTCATAGGATACCGCTATCTCTCAGAGCATTCTGTAGAATTGTTTCCTTTACAGCGGCGAAAACAAGCCTATATTTAAAATTAGGACGAATTAATAATCTCATAAGTGGAATCGATGTCAAGAGTAAATCAATAAAACAGGAACTAACCGTATCTTTAAACAATACAATATTGTAATCGTGAAAGAGAGTCAATATAAAGAGAAGTTAATATAACAAGCAGTGACTGACTTATAGAACTCAAATAACTTACATTTGATGTATCGGTTGCTTGCGTGAGGCTGTATCATCGACAATAATAACAATCATTTTGTTAAATATACAGCCATCAATAGGTTACATAAGAAATATAAGTGCAAATGTGCTCACTGTGGATATATATTCAGCCGGGCTCGATTAGTCTGCGTGAACCTCCATAATATATATTTTGCAGCTTTATTGATGTCTGATCCTCCTGTGTATTACAAAAAAATATTATATATTGAATTAATTTCTTTGTATGTGTAAACATAAACATTTGTATACCAAACCTGAATATTCGGGAAAATATTTTTCAAGGGGCACCCGAGGTAGCTTCTCTTTGAATAAATCAGTTTTATTGAGGAATAAAATGATCGACGTTCGCAAAAACCATCGGCTGTTGATTACTGATTCAAACAACACGAGACTTTCCTTCATTCTATTCTAAAGAAATTAAGTAAAGTGCATACCATCAATCTTTACATAATTATATATAATCTACTTTTTGAAAGGTATTTAAATACCTGTCCCGATTCTTCCAATAAATTCTGATCGTATTCACTGAGTGCAACACAAAAGATAATAGACGTCACGGCTTCAAAACAATGAATCCATTTTTTTCGTTCTGATCTTTGGCCACCTACATCAAACATACTACCATATAGAAAATTTTAAACAATAAATTAGTTAATCTAATTCCACATTAATTTGTAATTTATTATTATCACAACATACTGTATATTTAGTTGTCCCATGTTAAATCTTGTTTCTGAAATACCGATGGTTTTAGTTCTTGCTCGAAGAACATCATCCACAACAGGAATATAATTGGGTTCTCCAATTCGCCTTACTTCCTGAAAAAAACTAATGAATATTAGGTAGTAGTTGATAAATATTTATTATTTACCAAATTTCATTTACCAGACACAATGGCAGCTCATCGATGTAACTTATACTCACTAAGGTGCAGAATCCATTAGATAGAAGTGACTCTGTTTTTCCATGACCGCTTTTATTATTGGATCACTCCATATAGATTCAATAGCATCGACTATTTCTGGGCTTAGCCGAAATGCCGGGTCGTTTTCGATATAATAATCCAAAATCTTATCAGCAAAAGCCTAATTTTTAATGAACCCCAAAAAATAATCATCCCAAATAGTTACAATAACTATATATCGAATATTACATTAAACTCTTTAAAATACATACTTTGTTTTCCGGCTTTTGAAATTCCAATCGAAAATTTCTAGTGGCGTTAACAATGGCTTGTGCAGAGTCCATCAGGTTTTTATAGACCGTTATCCGATAATGCGCTAACTCGTCCCTGGTGTAACCATTTTTATGTATTATTTTCATCTGTTTAACTATTGTCGATTTACCAGATTCTCCCGACCCTGCAAAGTGACAATGTGCAATTAAATGCTACGGCTCGTTTCCAAAAATTAGCCTCAAGGTTGCAAGATTTTCCCTCTTGTCAACCTGTCAAAGCCCAACTGTCAAATGAGGCAAGCGATGTTCTAACCTGTAAGTTATTAGGCATAAACGATGAGTAATTACCTAGCAGAAGAATTTTACATTCTTTCTTATATCTTTTGCTATCTTCCTCAATTTGTTTGTCGATTTGATAGCTTCGTAATCGCGATTCTTTCTCTTCAGCAGACAAACATAAGCCCATGGTTTCGTTGTTACAGTAGATGAGTGTGTTTTTGCTTTCGCTACAAGAGACTTGAAATGAAATAAACAAATTAGCATTAAACTACTAAGTTGATAGTTGTCATGTGTTATAATATAAATAGAATCGTTGTTATTCCGTGAACCAATTACCATTAATTGTTATTTATTAA